AGAAATGATTACTGTCCCCATCATAATTTCTTCTAGTGGCAGTTTACTCTTATCTTTTTAATAGGTACTTTTAATAAGTATATAACTTATTAAATTATAAGTGAATAATTTTTAAAACTCTTTAACAAATAAAACTACTGTGCCAGGAGAAAAAGAATACAACACACACATGCTCACATACATGCATGCACACACCAGAGGTTACAGGGAAAGTCCTCATCTTTGAATGATCAAAGAGTGGCCAGTCAGGCCTAGGCCCAGCCATGATTATCGCTTATTACCAGCAACATCACTTTTCTGACCTTAGACTATATTTCCCCTAAGGCACTGTGGGCAGTTCTATCTCCACTAGGCAAATTTAATAGCTTCTCCAGGGAATTTGGGAATTTTACAGTAAGTGGTCCTTGCTTGAACTCAAACGAGCTCAATCCTGCTAGGATGTTCAGAGTGGGGACTTCCTCTTCAATGCCTGTGGCGTAGTCTCAAACAGTCCAACCCCTCCACCCACTTTGTTTCATTTTCTGAGTAACATGCCTCAGAAAATGCTGTTCCAGCCCTCGTCCATCCACCACCCTCTCCTTTACAGTCATCAGTGGATATTAAACCTTTTCTCCTCTTTCTCCTGACACTGCAGCTACAGTCAACCCCTCTCCCGATTTTAATGTGATGGAGACTGCCACTGTGGATCTGAGTGGTGGGGCGCTCACCACTGCTGCTATGTCCTTTTTCTACTCCCTACTGCTGCCCATTACCACCAAATGAAAAAGGAAACTTAAAAGAAAAGAGATAATCTCTGCTTCCCCTTAATTAATTTTAACTATATAAAATTATAGGTGGCTTGAGTCATTTTTCAACAGTTCCTTAGGCTAAAAGTTCATAAAAGAACAAAGTGCAAAATAACATATTTTTATGGCACAATTTTGAAGGTTCATTACAAATTTACAAAATCTCTTTTGGCTTTTAAAAGTGAAATATGTGATGTATACAAATATATGTACTACATATGTGAATTGTAAAGCAAAATACAATGTAAATATCAGGTATCTCCTAGCAAGCTTAAGAAGTGGATCATGATCTTTAACCTTTAAAATAATCTGTGGTATAGGAATGACTGTGGCCAGGCCATGGGTAGTAATGGAAGGCTCGCCCACCCAAGTAACCCTCAGGTTGGTGAGACTGGAAGGCAGGGAAGCAGTAGGTGGCCAACAGCTCTCAGGCTGCACTGACAGCCAGGTCCTCTCTGACACTCCTTCCCCTCTACCAGGTTGTCCACATGGAGGGGTTGGGTGGGGAGATTCCCTGCAGGGAGACAAGGTAGCACACCCACAGGGTCAAAGGCGGCAGTGGGGACCACTCTCATCAGTGAAATTCTAATATGGTGAAATCCAACCTGGAAACAACAAAAACTGCCATCAGCAGAAGGACACATGAACAATTCGTGTTTCATCCACACAGATGGTTCAGCCCCTATACAACAGCAGTACACATGAGAACCAACAGTTATACTGCTTAAATAATATCCATTAAAAATCACATATTGAATGGTTACATATTTCCCACATTTTGAAAATACAAACTCTCCACCTGAGACCACAAAGTACATGGGCTTCTTGGGACAGGAGGACAAGTAGTGATTACAAGTGGCCACAAGGAAAGATTTTAGAGTGCTGTATGTGTTCATTACCACCATTAGGGTTACGGTTTCTAGGGTCTACAAAGACCACCTGCCATAGTCACATTCCAGCTTACCTCATTCTGTGTACCAATACTGAATACTACACTTGGGTATTAAGTTCAATGGTATTTAGAATGAATAATTTGTGTGCACCCCAAAGCTGCAACCTCTTACGGATCCTCTGCCACCACCCTACAGGTCATAATTTGAAACCAATATTTCCATCTCTTAAGGAAAATTATTGTGGAAATGTCTCACTACTCCTTATTTAACTGAAAATGATTACATAATCAATCCAGAAAGAAAAGTATCCTAAAATTTCACAGTTCTCTAAGTACTGTGCCAGCACTGCATCTTTTGAGAAAATGTCTCTTTTATGTGGAAAAGATCCCTCAGCGCTGTGCCTGCTATATGCAAATTGTCAATGTACATGTGTTACTTTAAATGTGAAAACATTGCCTAATATCACAGAAAGCTTTCCTAGTTTTTCTTTTGCTCACACTTTCCTAAATCACACAATCAGTCAAGATAGTGCCTGAGTGTAATCTCAGTATTCTAGGTAGTTCAGGCAAGAAGATCACAAAGTAGAGTTCACCTTGACAAATTTAGTGACTTAGTAAAAAAAGTCAGAGGATATAATTTAATTTAAAGATGCAGAGTCAAGACCCAGTACTGTAACAGTAAAAACCTAATACAGTAGTTAGATAGATAGTAGATTAGATAAAAAGTACATAGATTGATACTTAGATAGATTTAAAAAATAAGTAAGCGACCACTGACTTATTCAGTATGAAGAAAAAGATGACCACAGGCTCTTCCAATAAGAAGGGAGATTCAGAGTATAGACCTCCAAAGCATGATCTCACTTCCTTTGAAACATGCCCAAACAGAACCTTTGGAAGCCTTGTTAACAGACATCACACTCTAGTGACCACCACCTTTCAGGATCACCGGACCAGAAATGGCCAACAGGAGCATGTTAAGCTGCTTCCCGACTCTGCAAGGCCACAGCTTCAGAACTCAGGCACAAAAAGTATCTGTGAAAGATTGAGAAGATGGTTGACTCCATCCGCATGCCACAGGCCACACTGCAGCAGCCACCCAACTGCCATAGACGCCTCATGGAAAGTCTCCCTGGGCTTGACCACCAATGACCTAGAAAAGGCAAGGCCCCCGTACAAAGTCTCCCTAAGCCCAAATACCAATGGCACAGAAACTGGAAGGAACCCAGAACAAGTTTCCCCAGACCCAGTAAAACCCAGTAGCTCCGGGAAGGTTCCTTAGAGCCTAGCAAAAAAAAACCAGAAAGTCAAGTTCAGAGTGGGAGACTGAAGTCACAGCCACCAGCCCCTGAGACACTGAGAAGTCCAGCGTACATCACCCAGTCCAGTAACCACCACTGAAAATAACTTCACTGGAAGCCTCGCAGGAGTCCACATGTCTACCTGGCAGGCCCTGATGTGGGAAGAGATATCATGGCAACATACTTTGAGACTTCCATCTTCTTTGAGGGCTTTGCAATGAAGTTTTGAGAGTTATGTTCTTTTGATAATAACCAGTTTTTCACCATAAAATTTGTAGATGATGAAGGAGACCTATGTACTATATCACCTCAGTTGGAGTTGCAAGAAGCTTTTAGGCTTTCTGAGCTAAACAAAGGTACTGAACTCTTAAGGCATGCATCACGTTGTATGCCAGAACGTTCTGAAATGCCTTGTTCAGCAGAAGACAAACCCATCTACTGCAAAGGTGCACACCTTTGGAGAAGGTTTTATTGTGCATAACCTTACTTTTCAAGTCAAATATATCAGAATATTTGTGCTCATTTTAGGGAAACTTAGACACAAGGTGAATAACTGCATCAATGTAAACTCTTGGTTCATGAAAAGTGTCACAAATTTGTCACAGTGAGCAGCATTCTTTACCATCAGAATTCATGATCCTAATTAATCAATCATCTATGGCTTCAGACCTTCCAAAGATAGTAATCCCTTCAAGTCACGAGAGTTAGAAACAAGTTGATGAACAGAATAAGGGGATAAACACCAGCCAAAGTGGCAAAACTTAATCCAGTTTAGGTCTTCAGGACTTCAATTTGCTCTGAGTGATAGGGAGAGAACGTTATGCAAAAGTACTGTTGGTTCATTTTTTTTTTTTTTAAGACAAAGTCTCACTATGCAGTTCAGGCTGGCCTTGGGCTCACTTTGCAGCCCAGACTGGTTTCGAACTTGCAACGCTCTTCCTGCCTCATCCTCCCTAGTGCTGAGATTACAGACATGCACCACCACTCCCAGCTTGTTGGTTCAACTTTAAAAAACAAATCATATCTATCCAACAAAAGTCATGAAGAAAGAGCTTGTCAATATTGAGTGGGTGCAGACAAAAAAGCACATTTTGGAGCAGGCATCTACTCATCCTTTTCTTGTTGGACTGCATTTTCTTGCTTTCAGACAGAAAGCAGACTTTAGATTATGTAAATGGAGGAAATCTAATGCTTCATATGCAGCAACAAAGAATACTTTCTGAAGAACATGCCAGATTTTACTCTGCAGAAATCAGTTTAGCATTCAATTATCTTCATGAGAGAGGATACTTTATAGAAATTTGAAGTTGGACAATGTATTACTGGACTCAAAAGGGCACATTAAATTCACTGACTATTGCATGTATAAGGAAGGCTTATGACCAAGAGATGTGACCAGCACTTTGGGTGGCACGCTTAGTCACCTTGCTCCAGAAATTATAAGAGAAGATTATGGTTTCAGTGTCAACTGGTGGACACTTGGAGTACTAACATTTGAGATGAAGGTCAGAAAGTCTCTATTTCATCTTGTTGAGAGTGTTGATAACCCTTATGAAAACTCAACCAATTCTCTCTCTTGCAAGTCATTTTAGAAAGAAAAATTCACATACCGTAACATTGTCTGTAAAAGCTGCAAGTGTCCTGGAGACTTTTCTGAACAAGGACTGAAAGAAATGAGTAGACTGTCATCCTCACACAGGATTTGCTGATATTCAGTACCATCCGTTCTTTTAAAGAGTTGACGGGGATATGATACAGCAAAAGTGTCTGGTACTCCCTTTAAATCAAATATTTCTAGGGGATTTGGCTTGGACAACTTTGATCCTCAGTTTACTAATGAACCAGTCCAGCTCACCCCAGATGATAATTGTGAGGAACATTGATTTGATAGGAATTTGAAGATTTTTAATATATCAATCACCTTTTCAATGTAAGAAGAAAAGTGTTTCTGATTTTCATTTTTCAACTATGCATTCTGCTTATATTGCCATTTATACGTGTAAAAAAGTATGTTAGTCTGGATAAAATCAATCATTTCATAATTTTTTTTTATTTTTCAAAACCATTAACTATCACCTTTATTTTAAAAATATAAATATTTGACATGTCAACTTAAAATTATTGATTTTTTTAAAATCCCACACAGAACTGACATAACAGAGAAATCCACAGCAAGATAATCATTCAGACTGCCAGTTCCAGCCACTAATTTAACACTAGTTTTCAGGAAAAATGAAAGATTTAATGTTAACAGCAATGAAGAAAAAACAATCATTTGCAACATGCTGCTATAATTAGAATAACCAGTCCATGGATTACTGAAACAAAGAATTCCAACAGCAAATTTAGAGCTTCCTAAAAACAAAAACAAATTCAAGACTCTGAATTGTTGCAAATACTCTACATGTGAGAAAAAACACTCTTCTTGTGAACTTTAACCCACAGCAAATGTCCTCATGGTTTACAGAGGGATCAGCTCTGGCTCTGTGACTTCAGCCGTGCTCTCAGGGTTTGGATTCAGCCGACTGGAAGGAAACCTCCCCAGCTGGGGAGGAATGGAGCTCCAAGTTGAGATGAGCTGTCAAATGCCAGGGACAATGATACCTGTTTCGGGGGAAGCAGACTTACAAATTAGAATTATAGGAATAAAGAGGAAAAATTTAAAGTTAAAATACGTGTTCAAAATATGTGGATTACTGCTTCACGGTGGCTTAAATTTCTATAACAAGGTCCAGTGTGAAAAACTCACTTAATGAAAATTTGGAGAGCTGAGACATGCTTATTCTTGCTGAATACATTTGCAGTATATACCTTTACATTTCGTTCAGGGCTACTACTACATTGCAGGGGCTTTAGAATTGCTGATCATTTTTTTAAAAGTGTAACTATGTCTTGTTTCTAAGTTTCAGTTATAATACTTGACCAGGAAAAAGTTCATGAACATTGCACTGACTTTCAGGTTTTACATCTCATTCCTGAAAAAAACAAGACAACTCTGAACATTTTTCAAAAGTTCTTTTACAGAAGTTAAGACTTTTTTAGACGAACTAAACAAGCAATAGCGAAGTTAAAGGGAAAGCCAAAAGACTGCTGCCCACCTGAATGGGAGGAAAACTTAAAATGGTCTGCTATGGAGTGCAAGGCCAACAGGACTCAGAGGTTAATGGAGAGGGTGTCTCTCACTAAGTAAACGATGAAATGTGTCTGCCCACTTCAAACTCTTCTTAAATCATGAGTGGGATTCAGTTTAAGGAAATAGTATAATGTACCCTTCAGAAAAAAATAGTTTATATTTTTCCATCACAAACAAAACATTGGTTATGACGTCCAGCGCCACCAAGCAACCTTCATTCTGTCCCATACAGCAGAAAGCGAATCCAAGGCGGGGCGCACATCCAGGATGGCGAACTGGTAGTTCTCGTTCACTTCGCCACCATCGTAGTAATCGATCACGTGTCTAACTTCCATCCCGCAGCGGTTGATGATCCAATCATGCCTGTCAAAAGGCAACTCATACCCCATCCAGGAACGAATTCTGGCCCTTGGTGAATACTGCTTTGCTTTCCCTCCGAATCGGATCAATGAGGGACCACAAGGACACTCCACAGCATGAAGGGCTTCCCACTTCAAAATCTCCTTCCAGGCCTGCTCGTTATTCTGATTGTGAATCTTTATGATGTTATACATATCTTTCTGACTAATATCCTCATCCTTCCACCTCCACCCTTTCCTTAACATTGCATTCCAGGACATCTGTTCTGAAGGATAGACCCACTTTTTCTCAGTCTGCTCTTGGAATGGATGATTCTTCTCTGACCGTAGACAAAGCAAAAGGCTGATCTGGGGCTGGTGTTTGATTAGGTGGTGGCATCAGATTTGAAGGATCCAGGTTCTCCTTATCGGCCCTGGCATGGGTAAAGGGGCACTCCACATAGGTACGCTCGATCCTGGTGGGCAGGCACAGAGTAAGTTTTGCTGTCACTAGTTGGACTGGATGGTTCCTCACTTACTGGACAGCCTTGACTCTTCCTTTCATGCATTGGGCATCCTGAAGGTGGTGATGCTGTCTGATGATCTGAAGCTTTTGGGGTCTGAACTGCAACAGCAGGAGTAGATGCTGACAAACCCATGGCTGGAATCAAAGTGTTGACTCCAAACAATTTTAAATGTCCAGCACTGCCTTCACCTCACCGGGTCACTGCTGTCGCATCCAATCATTTCATAATTATCTGTAGGCTAATTTTAATTTCTTTTTTCAAGTTCTGTTTGGATGTAATACTTGATTCTTATAGTAAATAATAGAGGATATTGAGGTTTTATGGTTGATAGAGTTGTTTTTTGTGCTTTGACTTAGATAACAAGGAAGCATTCACTTGTAAACCAACCTTGTAAACACGTTCTTCCATTTATTAAGTGAAGACAGAATGTATATTTTTTCTCATTACTTCCTCTGCAAGAAAATAATTTGTCTTTTAAATAGAATGTCTCACCTATGCTTGTTTCTATCCAAGCCATATTACCTGTATTTTTAGACCCTAGTTTATGTAGTTTTCAGGGAAATCCAGAAAATAATAACAATTTTGAATAGATCTACAGAAAATACATATATTCTATCTCCTTAATTAAATTTTTTCTTTAGTAGAGTAACACATGCAACAGAGAATAGACTCATTTTAAAGGTAGAGTTAGCAATTAGTGGTTAGCAATTATACAGTATTTTTCTATTTATTTTAGCACCATTTTTATACAAAAGGACTTGAAAAGTAACCTTGATCATCTAAGTAAGTTACAATGGCACAATCTTAGAAAAATTTAATTTTAGGGAAGATATCTAGGTTTAAATTTAACATGATTTAAAATTTGTAGGTATTTATTAAATTATCTTTTTGTCTTTTTTTATGCTCCATTTCATTAGAAATGTAACTTTTCCAAAGCTTGTAGTCCTGTTGCTTTTTCCTTCAAATAACCAAATTTGAAAGTAATGAAAAACTTCAAAAGAAAACATTTTATATACATTTACATGCTTATTTGAGAGGTTTCTCTTAGTGCCTAGAATTTGTTTTAAAACCAAAAGCAATAGTCACATAAACTTATAGAGAATTCTGACATGTCGGAACTATGACATTCGTGATCTTTCTTTCAAATGTTGTTCTTTCCTATAGAACAGTATGCAGAATACCATGTCAACTCTCTTCATAGTCTATAGAAGTTCCTGCAAAATACTGACCAGCAGAATAAGGTAGTTTGTAGTCAGAATAGTTAGCATTTTGGTATTCTAGAACATAATTTATTTTACATAAGCCTGTGGCCAGATCATCTTATACACATACAGCCTGAATTAAATATCAAGTACTAATGCTTGCTTGTTCAGTGCTGATATATTTACTTTATAAATTTGTTTTGTTTTTATTTTTGTCATGTAGAATACTGCCTTGGACATCATACTGTAGTCTGTATTTATGTACCTTCTTTTTATTTTTAAAATCATCAAACAGCCAGGGATTTAGCTCAGCGGCACAAGCACCTGCCAGGCAATTGCAAGGTCATGAGGAGTTTGATCCCCAGTACCAAAAAAAAAAAAAAAGAAAAGAAAAGAAAAGAAAATCATCAAATAAAACACAAATAAATAAATAACCAAAGACTTGGTAAAATTATTTGGCTATCACCATTCACTACACCTAAATTCAACTCCTGTGATTTGTTTTGTGCAAAATCATTGTGTCTTCACCTTCTCCCCAGCAATTTGGGCTCAGAGTCACTAGGGACCATATGACTTTTATGGCAGGTGTCATTGGCCCCAATAAATCTGACTTGCCATTGAAAATCTGTATGCTCACCAGTGATCATAAATGAGGTATAATTCCTCATTTCCTGTCTACAAGAGCTACGTAGGAATCTTAATGTCTTAAAGTAAGTTGACAGCAGTCTTACCCTAACACAGGGACTGTTCAAGAACGGCCTAGTATGGGGCTGGGGAGTTAGCTCAGTGGCACAAGCACTTGCCTGGCAAATGTGAGGTCATGAGTTTGATCCCTGGTACCAAAAAAATAAAAATGGCCTAGTAAATTTGATTAATTATAGATGGGTTTGAATTTGATGATTATTGAATGTTATCTATAGTACTTAATAAAATTTTTATTCTTTTAGTTTTAAAAAACTCAGCACACTATTGAGCCAATCAGCTCCAGTATGGTTTGTAAAGAGACCTGTAATCTGCAGCTTCTTGACAGAACAGAGATGATAGATATAGCCGGGGCCCAGTGACATGTTATATGCTCCCTGGTTCTGGTGCTGTCTCTACTGACTTTCACAGGTGCTCTTAAAGACTCATTCCAAGGCTCCTCTCCCGCCCCATTGCCATACCACATTACCACTACTACCCACACCCAGCCCTTTGCCTCCATTGCCAAAGAAATAGTAAAAATAGAAGGTTCTTGACACAGTAACAATTCCTAAAATCAGAGGAAGCTACTCAATTACAAACCTCCTCAGTCCCAATCTTGCTCTGCACCCAATCCTAGTTTTTCTAGTCCAGCTTTCCAAGTAATTTAGTTTTTTTGTCTTTTAGCTAAAGTTGAGTTTCATTGGTTACAGTAAGTTAAATTACTGTAACAAATATACCCACAGTTGTAATAGTGCAACCACAAAAGAAATATGAATTTCATCTCATAATAACTCTAAGCAAGTATTTCTTCTAGTCAGCGTGAAGTTCTGCTCAAAAAGTTCTCATAAACAGTAGACTCTTTCATTGCAGTCATTTTTTTGGATATTTTCTATTTCTAAATGGTAATGAGCAGAACTACACATCCATATGCTAAAGAATGAAGTTGGACCTCTTCCTTATACCGTACACAAAAATCAACTGCAAATTGATCATAGGCACAATGTAAGAGTAAAACTGTAAAATTCTTAGAAGAAAAGAAAGAAGTCTATGATTTTAGGTTAGACAATATTTTCTTTGGTATCACACCAAAAGCATAGTAATAAAAGAGCTACTCTGTTCTTCTCCATTTTGTCTCCACACACACACAGTTAAGCTCACCTACCATGTACATTGCTATCCACTCTCAGCTTTTGATTTTATTTTTCAATATAGCCATGATAGAAGTGATTTCTGAATATTTAGATTAAGAGTGGCATATTATGCTTCTGAGTCTTAAAACCTTGGGCACGTAGACAATTCAGTCTTTTGCCAGAGCACATTGCATTAAAGTACTGGTATTTGATTTCCAATTTGCTATTGATCCTCAGGGTACAGAGCTCCCTTGAAACTATGTGGAGAGAAAGAGTACTTGTCAGGCTGCAATGAGAGCATTTGGAGCCCCCGATTAGATTGACTTCATCCTATTGTCAAACTTCACCCTTAGCTCCTAGCAACCACCAGCATGATAATATCTCCAGAACTTAAATAACGCCTTACCCCTCTTACATCAGCCTACCTTGTTTATCCCCACCTATACTACACGCTCAGCACAATAAGAAAGAAGTCTTATATGTGGTCTTTGTGTGCTCTTTGGAGTTTACTGAGAAGCTTGACAGCAGAGGCAGTTGGTTTAGGATCTCTGAGAACCAGTGGCAGGACATAGCCCCACGTCTATCCCACC